ATATCACTCCCAGCTTCAGAAAACTGAAGTGCTTGCAACTGGGGACTACTCCGTAGTAGTACGCTACAAAAAACTTTGGTTTCGAGGGCCCTCGTTTCTCTGGAATCATTACTGCAACTTGATATTCGACAGCTTCCCCTGATGAATTGTCTAGACGTCCTCCGCATGTTCGACTTGGAGAAGAATCCTTAACTATCATAGAAGTTCATCTGTATGCGACAAATACATGTATTTTTCAGATTAATTTGTCTTCACAAGCGACTTGGTGATTCCATCTCCTATGTTGTTCCTCAACTGAAAATACAGCACAAGTTCCGCCCCATGTTACGATCGGTACGGTATTCAAAATATCGCATCATGTATTTTTAGAAAAAAAGCTACTCAAAAGACTGCTGAAACCCTCCAACAACACGCTACCGGTTTCGCACTTGTTTGACCTCATCTAGTAGGTACACTTCTTGATACTCCTAACAAGCTCATGTTCAGCTGCAACCCAAATTGATGAGTGCGACAAACAAACTTGGTCGTCAATAAATTTGGTCCTTACGGGTCACTTAATATAACCTAACTTTCATGGAACAAGACTGATGCAATTAGTATATCTGCGGTTCCGCGCTGGTTGTACGACGGCGTCCAGCAAAAGACAGCTTAAGATGGTGCTCACAAAACATTTTAGGCATATTGCAAATAATATCATAAATATAATGGTTGTGTTACGAAGATTTGAGTATTCCTGCTTCAAAAATACCATTTTACGGAAAATTTTGAACAAAGGCCAAAGGCCAGAAAATGTCAGGGGAAAGCAACTTTAACATCACGAATGTCATTATCCGGATTCTTTTAAGCTGCCCTACTTGTAAATGTATCAGCAACTAATGCCATCCTTCTTGTGTGGAGCTGTTAGCGGAGAAAAAGCGGTTGATTGTTACTAATTTTCCACGTATTACCCGCTGACGTTCATTACGTTAGAATGCGGCCGTGATTCTCCTTGAGAAAGCAGCATACGTGTTGCCAATCCAAGCCATTCGTTTTGTTGCCTGTGATACAAGTGGTTGCGATTACGCCCCCGTATCACAGGCCGCGTGAACATCAGCGCCATCTAGCTGTGCGTGTTTATGAAGCCGCATCACATTGGCATACCCTCTTCATCTGGCACTCTATCAGCACTGTCCACTAAAGGAAATTTTTGGGTGCAGACATGTCCTCCCACGTACTGGATTATGCAGCGTACCAAAATACATGTGACATCCTGAGAAATGTGTATCGTCAAACGATGAATAACGTGTGGTATGGTTGGAAAAAGGCGAGCCACAGCTGTACAATCTGGGCCATTGCTCCACATTCATAGGGTTCTGGTACCCAATCGAGTGGTGCTATCCAAATATATGAGTGAGTGTTCCCATCGGACATATTAATTTGAGTATTCCTCGACATCATACGCGGGAGACTCTCGTGGGCACCGAAAAACACTAATCGGCTTCTGGCGAGCCTCAGGAATGACCAAACTGGTCGTACGGTGCCGGAAAGTTCCACTGGCCTAATGAGTAATGTAAAACGTGTACACATGAAGCGAATTATTTTTTACTTCCACCTGGATCATAGGTCTACCTTTCGTATCCGGGTTATGCTATATTCAGAAATGGTACAACTCCAAAGCGAACAAGGCTTCGAAATCGAACTAATCTCCCTTAAAATGCAAGCGGTGTGTTAGAATACTGCATTTCAGGGCACATAAACTCACACTTGTCGGGCTCATGCCGGTTTAACTTGGTGCCTAAAAAAAGAAATATGTCTTCTACAGTTCTTTGATGGCAAGAATGACATTGTCCGCACATTCCACGGCGACAAGTTTTCCACCATAGGTTTTCGAAAACATGGACTTATATACCATCCGACGTTTGTCTCACTCCGTAATCAATTACAAAGTTAAGTATAATTGTATACAGTGGACAATGTTGAGATACACCGCTCTGAGTACGGAATCCTTTGGAGACATCACCTTACACTCCCGCACTTTCCAAAGCCCCAGAGTGCAAATGGCTCATTAGGTTCACAAAAGTTTGTTGGGTTGCCTGAAGGCCAAGAATGTAAAAAACCCAGTCGGATGCGTCTTCGAAATCGGGAAATACAAAAGTTATTCGCTAATTTTGAGGGCGGCGTTCACCTATGAAGTCGTGGAACGTGAAGATTCAGTCAACTCAAAGCCTACCGGACTGGTGCTGCTCATCTGTTGGCGCTTTGTGAGGCACCATAAGGATTTCTTCTGTGGAGAAACTCGGTGAAGCGTGGTGGAGAATGAGCACTCATGAAAACATCAAGATCTTAGGCGATCCCGTGCTCAGCATCCGGGGCCCTACGTCAAGGATATGTTCGAGGTGGTGGCGGGTGGCGAACTTGACTGAAACACTTAGCCCACGATTGTAGCATTTTTTCTTTATTCAGCAAGGTCGCACAATTTTGATCCTTGATGGCCCTAATAACGGGTGATTTCCGGGAACCGGTGGCACTAAATGGCTGAATAATCTTCAGCGATTACTTGATTTCTAAGGCTCTTCTCGGTTGTGGCATTTCATTTTTATAACACTTTGCGGTCGGCTAGCACGCTCAAACTGCTAGCCCGTGTATGAGACTACACTCCAATCAATGCACAGATAGAAAGCAATCTGGTCACGGTGTGAATGCATATTTGAGGGTTTATCAACTGAAGGAGAATATGTGCGGCTTACTTTTGCGCTCGACATCAGAGAATAAACATATGCTTCCTATCACAAGCCAGATTCGATGGAAAAAAGTGACTTCAATTTCGAAAGCCAGATCTCATTTCCGTTAATATCTTCAAGCGGTCTCCACTACATTGCTTGTAACTTGCATTGAGTGTCACTTAACTACGGCATATTGATTATCACAAACCAACACACTTTCTGTGGCAAATGGTAATTCGATGTGCCAGATACATAGTCTCGACAAATTTAGCTTTCATCATGGTTCTCAAAGTTTTCCGCGTTCACCTAGCTGAATGAGAGTCTGAAAGATTTGAGCATCCCATATTGCGGGATTCACTCCGACTAGTGGGTCCCGTTTCGTAACATGCATTCAGACCAACTGCGTGATAGCAGGTGTCCTGTAAAAAGAATACAAGCAAGTACGGAGAATTGTCATTTCTCCACCTTTGCACACAAATTATGAACGTGCCTTTCAAGCTTGTGTGCATGACGGCCTCTGCTCACTATAACAGGTATTAATAGTGATATGTTTTCAGATTAGACAAACATGAGATACCACCAGGAATGGTCGATGGGCCAAAGGGTACCACATGCAACATCAAACCCTCATTTGGACAACCAGTAAGTATATGACACTTCTGGCTTTTCGTTCGGGACTGCGGTTTCACGGCAGTGTATAAGTAGTTGGGTTGACAAAATTGTGTTCGCAATGCGGCTTCTCCACTTGCAATTTTACATAATTCCACCTAGCGAGTTTCATGTATCCTGGTCTCCTGATGTGGACGAGATTGTCATGGAATTATCTTACACAAATGCATGTTTCAGCGCGCACGTTTGCGATGTGACTTCACCTGAGAACTACCACTTGTGTTGCGGATTCACGGATTCACGGATCGATACACAGGATCGAGGCGTTTGCCCAAGTTTCCCGGGTCGGTTTCGTTCTTTTCGGTCAGTGGCTGTCGTTCACCTGAAAGGCACAAATTCACATAAATAAACGTCTAATAGCGCTTTAAATTGGGTTCGAGAAGGGGCGTGTACAACCGTCCGAGGAAGGTCATTCCACGCAGCTACTACCCGAAATGAAAAAAAGTTTTGTCTAATGAATGTGTGTGTCCTGCGCTTGAAAAATTTTCTTACTATGTCCTCGCCGGGTGTTTGCTGGTTCAACGGTAAAAAACCTATTTGCCAAGCTTTGTTCAAACAGGGCGTTAGTAAGAATTAGGTCTCCTCGAAGGCGGCGGTACTCCAGGGGAAATAGATCAAGCATCGCGGGACGCGTTTCGTAGCCCACGGATTCGAGGCCGGCAACCATTCTAGTGGTGGCCCCGCTGAACAGCTCAATGAGGGTGACGTCCTTCGTGCGTATTGAGTAGGCAACTTGGTTGGCGTACTCCATGAGCGGTCTGACGTAGGCCCCCTAGAGTATTTGGAAGTCCATGCGAGTAATACGGGAGAAGGTGCGTCGGATCATCCGTAAAATGGCGAATGCCTTTTGGGCCGATTTCTCACGGTGTAGTGAGAAGGACAAGTTTGAGGAGACCCAGATGCCCAAATCTTTTTTGGCATCTATCCTCATGATGTTTTCTGGTCCCTTTTCACCATGCATAACAAAGGCATTCGCTGAATCCCCTCCAAACGACACATGGACGCACTTTTCATCATTCAGAGGAAGGTGCCAGTCCAACGACCACTGCTTGGCAGCGTCTACATCCATTTGGAGGGCACTGGCATTGGAACTCCAGGATTTCAAGTCGTCCGCAAAAAGTAAACATGGACTCGCAAGAACGTCTGGGAGGTCGTTGACGTAGATCAGAAACAGGAGTGGTCCCAAGACGGAGCCTTGAGGAACTCCAAGGGAGACCGGCGCTGAAGAGGAATAGGTTGAGCCTATTCTCACTCGGAATGATCTGTCTGATAGGAACGCCTTGATCCAGCGAAGGATTTTCCCTTGAATCCCGTAAGACTCGAGTTTGTGGAGCAGCGGGACGTGTGGAACCCTATCAAATGCTTTTTAGAAGTCGAAAAATATGGCCGCATATAAAACATCCATTTGAATAAACCTTACTAATTACGCAGCGCCGTGAAATGCTTGCTTTCGACGAATTCCTGCATGACTTACCTCCCAATCTTCACGATACTAAGCGAGCAGAAGTGCTACATACAGGACTCATATCAGAGGTCTTTACAGCACTCACTCGATGCCGTTTGCGCCATGCATGACCGTATTGATGTAGATTCGTTGCATGTGGGTAGATTAACAGCCGGTGAATTTTAGGAATAATAGTCAACATCAATGGCTAACTCTGTAACCAAGTCATCCTTTATATTCACTTGCGATTTAGAAATATTTTAGATGTTATTGGGCTACTATCTCTTTACTATGCGACGGGCAGAAATCATGAACAATTTTGCTTCGTTTACCCTATATTTCCTAACTGCTTTGCTGCAATAAACTAAGAGCAGTACCGCAATAAAATATGCTCAAGTGACGCAATCCAAACTCCCATACTCCACTGCTTACAGAAAGACTGGATCACCAGCTTAGATCCTAAATTTAGGTGAACCTTGATTATACTACATCATTCTGAACAGTAACATACTTTTACCTTAAAAACTGTGATTCTTCAAATATTGTGGTGACCAGGAGCGTTGAGGAATGCTCGTTTATCACTAGCACAAATTTAGAGAACGCTCTTGATTAGCCAGTGTCAGCATCCTATTATTTGAAATGTTGTCTATTGTTAACAATTGTGTTGCGTGTGCTAGTTTGCTGAATCAAGTGTATAGTGGTTTCCCCCATCGACTTATGGGCGGTTTCGTGGACTGAGTATTTGTGGAGCGTAATCTGTCAAGCGACGGTTTTGAGAAGTGAAACTGCACACCTTGTTGAGTTAAAATAAACCACCGTTTGAAATATTCTAAAAACGCCGTTGTGCGTGCCCTGCAGAATGCTTCAGTTATATCGTTCACAGACTATGTGATCATTCTTGATGGATTCGGAATGTTTCAAAATTCAAAGTTTATCGCTAAAACATCGCCATGGAAACTATCGTTATCCGTAAAACATTCTGAGTTAACAATGGTCCATCGTGGTTGATTTGTACGTTGTAGACTCGGTTCGAACCTTTTCATGTCTGTGGGTGCTCGTGGCGGTGAAAAGAAGCCGCGACAATCATTTATTAGCAACGAATCTGAGAGGTGGAAAGTACGTGGGTGGGCTATTTTTGCTAAAATTATACCAAACATACATGCGTGATCAGTCAGTGTGGTTTAATTTTCTGGTAGAGCGCAACATTCATCAACACGAGATTAGCAAATCTCAGTGGTAAAACACCTGATTCACGTTGCATATACACAACATTTAAACCTATACTAAAGTAAGTTGCCCCTTTTAGGACTTACCCATGAACTAAACTAACATGGCTACAGTTAGAGTTACCACTTTCCGTTGCGCTATCGAACATATTTATGTAGTTCACCTAAAACAAGCGATATAATTGCATATCCATTTTGTCCACACAAACATCAGGGATAAATTCTGCCTGTCATATTTGCAGAACAACCTATGATGTTTGATACTGCAGTTCATCATATATATGAAGCTCAACTTATATGTTCATGAAGAGAAATAGAAGCATAATCGATCTTGGCAGATCGTCTAAGTGCATTAACCCAAATTTTCTAGCAAAAACAGCTTGGGACAATTAAAAAATGCTCACCTACAAATTGAATCACAAGTCGGGGTTTCTGACTGAGTGAAATCAGCTAGATCAGGTAGATAGCAAACAAAAGACAATAATGATGTACCCGAGAGGTTGACGCAAAAGATGTCATCAGCAACCCACGGGAGAGCACTATTGGTTTACTATCCATTACACTGGATCGCACCGGCATTCAGGAATCAAAACTGTTCCCATTGGACGAAGTAACCTTTAGTTAAGTGAATTCGTGGCGATGAAAATTTCGGCCTAATTTGGTAGAATTGTTTTCGCTCATGTAGCACTGCAGGTTAAATTGAATGATTTGAGTGGGAAAAATATGACGGTACCCACTTACTGAATCACCTTAGTTAGACTGCTTTAAAACCATAGTCTCAAACTCTTTTACGGGGCACTCACTATATTTCTGTTGTTCAGATCAGAGTGCGGTCTGGCGGGCACAGTTGACTCAAAATGTACCTTTCCGGGCTCTGTCGAAATTATTTCGTTTTATGTTCCCCCATTTAAAATACTTTGATTGAATAGTTCTGCGAACATATAAGACACCAATTTGTACGTGTCGGTAGAATATCAGCGCCCTGGCAAGTAATCTCCCGAAACGCTAAGGCCTTATTTTTTTCATTATCCCCGGCAGGATTATGGCGTTTTATTTGCTCCGTGCCCTCAATTTAGCGCTGTTAACTTTACGCAGATAATTTGTAGGGAACATACCGAATGGAAACCCAAATTACCCCTTTATTATTCAAGCAAATTTGCATGCTTGCTGAACAGCGTCCAAAGATTGTTGAGTAAATAGATGTTGGTAACCACAGGAAAGCATTAAGACAAGCTTGAAACAACGATTTCCAAGGTTAAAAAAGTGCAGCTTCCCGGGGCGGTTCGTAGACCAGTGAGTGCATACTCATGGGTGGAAGGATCAAATTTCTTGGAAACATAACATGAAGTAGAATTAGTAAAACGAATTTAACCAAGTAAAAATTAAGTTTGATCAGTAAATCGGTAATTTGGATTGAACAACTGCAATCAGAATTTGAAGTCAATGTAGATCACTGATTGAGCACTAACACCAAGGATCTTGTTTGTCTACAAAAACAATCCTGTCGCATTTAGAGATTCCCATATATTGGGGTCTGGAATAAGCCGCAAGATTCAGCAATATCTTGGAAAGCTTTGGATCAAAAGATGCCAAATTCCGTAAACCTACATTGGAACAAATATTATGTCAGCAAACCAACCACAAATAAGTATGAAGTGGTTGGCATCTCAGTGGAAAAATTACCACAATTGTATTGACGTATGCATGGTTGATTATATTTGGGTATGTATATATAAATTATGTATTATATTTAATATTCCAAAAACGCTCTCAATGGCTACTCGTCATAGGTCCCCCGCAGGAGTATCCCTGGTGTCTGTAAATGCCTGAAACTACCGCAAAAAATCTAAGAGCAAGCATGTATTAGGAAGATTAGTTGTTCATATATCTTTTTGATAGCTTTAAAATACGCCTTGTCAAATGATTGTGGAGCAATTTACGAGCTGCCTGCTTATTAGAATGGTTTAATTAAGTTTGAAATAAGTGTGCCCGCTTTTGGAGATTATGCAATCAAATGGAAAAGCAACCCAACTCAACCGGACAGCCTGCATTGAGGTCCTTGTTTTACATGATAAACGAAAACGTGTTTCTCCTCGCCTCACCACAGAAAGGCAGTGGGCGATATAATTCATGGATTAAAGAAATTTTAAAAAGACCATTCGACTGTTTGTGTTTGACGTCGACCTGATTTGTGTGAGGCTTGTTGCTCCTTCATAAAATAATTGGCGCGATATGATATTTATCTGACTGCCAAAGGGCGGTTGCATCATCAGTTCATTCTTATTAATAGTCTTTCAGATGAT